TAAAGATGTGGTATATTATGCAGTGGAGTATTACTCAGCGATCAAAAAGAATGAAACATTGCCATTTTCAACTACGTGGATGGAAGTAGAAGGTATTATGCTAAGCGAAATAAGTCAGTCAGAGAAAGACAAATATCATATGGCTTCATTCATATGTGGAATTTAAGATACAAAACAGATGAGCATAAAGGAAGGGAAGCAAAAATGATATAAAAACAAGGAGGGGACATAACATAAGATACTCTTAAATACAGAGAACAAACCATGGGTGGGGGGATTGGCTAAAAGGGCAAGGGGCATTAAGGAAGATACTTGTTGAGATGAGCACTGGGTGTTATACATAGGGGATGAATCACTGGAATCTACTCCTGAAATCATTATTGTACTATATGATAACTAACTTGGATGTTAATTAAAAAAATAAATAATAAATTAAAAATTAAAATTAAAATTAAAATTAAAAAAAAAGGATAGGAGATCACTCCATGATCACTACTGGCCACTAGGCCAAGGACAGACTCCTATCTGGGTGACTGACCCAAAGCGCAGGAATGGGCTGAGATGTCTCGCTTAATTTCATTTTGTTACAGAGGTCTGGATTCAGGCTGGACCTCAAGGTGGGGTGCCAGCTGTAGTGCCAAGAGGGGAGGAAGGCTGTAGAGACAGGGGAGCAGAGAGGGTCTAGCAAAGGGGAGACAGCCTCCATAGGTGGCTTTTGTGAGAGTAACAAAAATTCCAATATCTCCCCAGGGGCACAGATAGAAGGGACAAGAACCTGATAGTCCTAGAATGGCTCCTGAGCACATTCCATGAAGTCAAGTTGGTCAGGTGTCACCCTGTCACCTCCCACCTTCACCCCCATGTTGTTCAAGAGGATGAACAGAGAAAGGCAGGTTTCTGCCCTTGGAGCCTGTGCTCTAATGGGGAAGAGAGACCATGCATGCAATGGCCTTCAGAGAGACTCAGGTAGACAGGCCCAAATAAGACCACCAATGAGGCCCCAGGGCTGTGGGTCTGGGTAGAAGTAGGCTGGGAATGGAAGGGGGAAGTTTTCCCCAAAGACAAAGAAAGAAAGAAGAGAGACAGTAGTGAGAGCCACTAGTAAGTTTTGTACGGTCTCAAAAAAAAAAAAAAAAAAAAAAGCAGAGTCAGGGACAGAACAGGTTTCACAAGTGAAGTCATCTTTATAGGGTCTCTACTGTCATGCCAAGACCTCATCTCACACACCCACTTCTATTCAGAACGTGCTCCAAGCAGATATTGCTTATTTTCCACTAAATTAGAGAGAAATTACATTCCCTCTAGAGCATTCTTGTGGGCAGGAGAAAGGGGCTGCTGTGGAAGTGCTCCCCATACCTTGCCCAGCTTCACCCCTGCAACCCAGGGGCAGAGATGGGAAATGGCAGGGCAAAGGCTGAAGACCCAGGGCTGGGCGCAGGCTGCAGGGGTGACCTTCTTCTCCTCTGGTGGCTGGAGAGGCCTGAGAGACCTCTGGGCCTCTGTTCAGCTCAGTCTTCCCCTGTCTTCCAGGGATGAAGGGATGCCTGCAGGCCCCAAATGCCTAGAGCTCCTAGGGGGTCATCCTCCTAGTTGGTTCCTGGCCACATAGGATTCTACTCCGTTGACATGGATGGAATCCTCCACAAAGTTGGCTGGGCTCCCTACCCAGGGAAAGGCAGAATGTAAGGGTTCCCCAATTGCCACCACCATGAAAACCCACTAATGAGTTTCTGTCTAATGCCCTCTGGGGGACCCCCCACCTCCATTTCCTTCTTCACCTCCCTTCCCTCTCCTGACACATTCACTGCTGTCTTCTTGAGCTTGTCCTTTTCTTTCCTTATCTAACACATGGGGATGGAAAGTACTACATGATGTTCACTGTACTTGTGTCCAGGTACAAGGAGAGGCCTCCAGGCCTGGGCTCAGAGGGATCAGCACGGGCAGCAAAGGGACCACTGGGCAGGACTGAGGTCACAGTCTAGCTCTGCTACAATTCCATTCCTCCTTCCGGGGCCTCAGGGGGCCTCCACCACAGAACAGGTGGGGGTGCTTCTGCACCTAACTGCCAGGATTCTGGAGAAGCCAACAAGCATACAGATGCCACAGGGTTACAAAAGGGTAGGGGCCACTGCTGCTGGAGTCACTGATCACTTTCAAGGACACCACCAGCCTCAGGACACCCCACCCACAGCTGAGCCCAGGCCTCCCCTGCCTCCTCCCCACCTCTACCCACTACCTCTAAATGGCCCTCTTCCTTCCCAGCATCTGGGAAATCTCCCCCAGGGGAGATAACACAGATGACATTACCTGTCTCAGAAGCTAAAGAATAACCAGAAACCAAACCACATCCAAACACTTCACCACTCTGGCAAAGTACATTGTGTTTCCATCCTATGGAGATTTGGTTACCACACTTGGACCAAAGCTAGAAGTTTTGCCAACAGGTCTCTAATGGAAAGCATGATTGACTGACAATTGAAATGCAGGACAGCCTTTTACAAGCTAGAGGGAAACCAACATGGGCTCCAAGAGGCTCAGCACAGCTTTTCTCAGGGCCTCTGTGTCCTATTGTGCAGTTTCTGAACTGTACCTATCACCAGACCAGGGGACAAGTGGGGACTGAAGTTCACATTTCCTGCCAAGCAGAGTCTCCACAGAACTGTGTGTGTGCCTTCAGGAGGCCCCTTTTAAAATTCAGGCAAAGGCCCCATATCTGCCCATAGAGCTTGCTCCCCTTTCTGAGTGATGATGGCTCCAGAGAGAATATTTCAGAGCTGATGGGGGCAAGAAATAGCATAAAGATGCAGGTGAGTGAAAATGGGGTTCTGGGCCAAGGGGTGGGCACCCAGCCAAGACCCAAATGCTGCTCTGGGCAACTTTAGGTGAAAATGCACAGGACTAGCAGCAGGAGAGAGAGAACGTGAGAGGGTCCAAGATACCAATGATCTCAGAATATTAGGGTCAGGAGGATTCTGGGGTCACCTAGATACATCATTTTCAGAGGTATTTGCTTTTGGTCTTGGTTCCTTTTCATGTCTTTATTTTATTTTTATTTTTTAGTAGTAGAATCTTTTTCCCAAGGAAAATAAAGACCGGCCAGGGAAGAATTGGGTTTTTTAAATTTATTTTTTAATGTTTATTTTTGAGAGACAGAGACAGAGACAGAGCATGAGCAGGGGAGGGTCAGAGAGGGGGAGACACAGAATCCAAAGCAGGCTCCAGGCTCTGAGCTATCAGCACAGAGCCCAACACTGGGCTAGAACTCACAAACTGTGAAATCATGACCTGAGCCAAAGTCAGATGCCTAACTGACTGAGCCACTCAGGCATCCCAGAATTTTTTTTTAAACCTGGGGAGAAGGGAACCCAGAACTCTGCCCACCTTGATCCTGGCACCTCCCACAAGCCCCAGGGCTCCCAAGGACACAGCGTGGAACATCAGCTAGTCCAGATGAGTGGTGAAAAGGCTGAGGCTCAGGAACGTGACATGACTTGCCCAAGGTCCATGGTGCACTGAAGGCAGAGGCCAGCTTAGGCAGGGCCAAAGAATTTGGGGGCGTTAGAGATTTACCAGCCATGCTGGGGAAGGGGGCTGCCTTGGGAACCTGGGGCACCATCCTAGGACCCACGTATTTTTCACCTGTGCTGGGTGGGAAAGCTCTACTCAAGGTGGGTGAGCTCCTGTCGGTGCAAAGGGTGGCAGACCAGGCCAAACACTAGCCAGGGGTGAGGGACCAGGGACAAGACACTGTGCAGTACAGCAAACTCTCAGCACCCTAGTCTTTCACTCAGACCCTGCCCCAGTCTCTCCCCAGAGATCCAGGACCACCATCTCCTGCTTTCTCCAGGCCCTCCCAGTGGGATGCACACCCTAGATTCTTCTATTCCTGAGGTTGGCCTTCCTCCAGGCTACACGTAACCTTCCATTCTAGAGCACTCTTGGTTAGCTCCTGTCCTCCCCCCCACCCAACTTCACCCCTAAGTCCCTCTCCCTACCCTGTGAGAGTTTGCAGGGGACATGCTGTTGGACCAGTCCTGACTGCTTCTACCAAGGCACTACCTTCTGGGAGCTGGGAACAGCATCTGTTGCTCCTGTGATCTTCCATTCCAGTGTGGCCTCTGACCTCCTCCCAAACCCTCCCACCCCAGAGCACCAGGAACACAACCAGGCCATCGCTTCGCTCTCATGTGCATTTATTGAGTGCCAACAGAGTGCGTGGTACTATGCTCAGGGTTCAGAGCCACAGTCTAGTCAGAAGAAGACCAGAGCTAGTACAGAGAACGTTTCATAGCTGCTTAACATCTGTAAGGGATGGGAAGTGGGGAGAACTAATCACAAAACAAATTCCTATTCGAAAGCAACAGAATCTCCTCTGAGAGTAATATATATTCTACGCGCGCGCGCGCACACACACACACACACACACACATACACACACACACACACACACACCCTGAATGAACACAGAAATATACCCACGTGGTTGTATATGCATGCATATACAGGTGTGGGTAAATAAACTAATGTATATGCTGTACACGCACACGCACACACACGCGCACACGCACACCACCGCACAGACAGGTAATCTGGCTTATGCTATCAAAGACACTATGTCTCCAGGTTCTAGTGAAGCAATCTGTCCTAGATGCCTGCAGCATGCAAAACTTGGAAGTTCCAGAGATTCACAGTTAAGGAGGACAAATGGGTATACGTGTATACTTTTCCATCCTCGGGGGCCCCAGCCACAGCACTGGAGGTTGCTCTTTGTCGGCGACAACAAAGCCTCTGTGAAGGGCTCCCAGAGCAGAGCTGAGGAACTGGAAGCTCTCTGTCCAGTGGCCCACGGGAGCCCTGGTGAGTTCACCAATCTTCAAGGCAGAATTTAAAAACTCTGGTTTTCGAGAGTGTAGTGCTGCAAACGGTGTTCCTTGTTACAGAGCCGCAGATCGAGGCAAGAGTTTCTCTTCTTGCTCGCTGTCTGCAGCCTCCCACGTATGCTAACGCATTTTGTAGTCATTAGATACAGATGTTTCACACAGCTGTCCCTTAAAATCCAAATCTACCGTGAAATCGAGGTCTCGCTACAAAGGAAGAGCAAAGGGTCCCAGCATTAGTGTGGTAGCAAAGGCAAGCACCACCCCCTCCCGCAGGCAGAGGGATGGGTAACTACAGTGTTTCTAAGGTTTTCTAGCTAAGGGGTTCCCACAAACAGCCCTCGGGAATCTATTCTAGTGCCTCATTATCCACACAGGAAGTTCTTTGATTCCTAACCTAAAGCCTTCCTGTTATAATATAGAAATGTTCCCTCTGATTTCATCCTGAGAGAAAACAGAGTGGGGTGGTTGAGTCTTCTGTGGCACAACCTTCAAAGCATTCTCTAGATGCTTTTAATACACACGCTTGCACCCGCGGTTGCTCAGAAAGAATCGCACGATCCCTGACCCACCAGGCTCGCTGAAGAAACGTGAACCAAACATCTTCCCGGCCACCAGAAGCTGTTATTTCCTGGGTTGGCTTGTTCTAAATGAGCTGAAACCCATGGCAACAGCCTCCGTGCCCAAAGCCCCTCGGATGCAGAACTGGAGGCTAAATGCAAGGAAGGCTGAGAGTCCAGAGTGGGTCTTCGAGAAAATCTATCACCCTTGAGTTTTAAGGGTCCATGGTTGGAGGCCTTCAGTTATACGTAGTGAGATCCAAACCTGGCTTTCTACTGCCCCTCCCCCAGTACCTTGTCTGGTTGTGCACAAGGCACTTGGGGCACCAGGGTGAGGAGGCCCTGGGAGCTCCAGGGAACCAGCTCCACGGGTCCCTTCTTCCCTCTGACCCTGTCCCAGACAGAGACTGCCTCAGCACTCACCACATTTTTGGCATTTGGCTTCATGGATATGGTCCCAAAGATTTCTTCCCCCCTCCGGACAGTGAGGTAATCTTCCAAGTAGAAGACAGTCTGCTTCCAGTGGGTGTAAGGGGCATCGGGGGCTGAGGGGAGAAGAAAAGGGAGGTGGGAAGGAAGAGTCAGAGAAGATGTCTCCAGAAACACTGAGGCTGAGACCTTGCCTAGAAGTTGCTGGGCTTCTTTTGGGATTCACCGAACCAACTCCCAGCACTTGTGTGGGTCAAGGCACCCAGCCCCTGGAGCCTGCCTCCAACCCCAGAAATCCTCACTCAGCCCCAGGGCTCCTCCTTCCATCAAGATCCCAGATCCTCCAGGCTGCTGATCTTAGCTAGGAATCAGAAGAAAAAGAAGCAGGTATTACAAGTTCCTTCCAAGGGGTGGGATGAATACCCTCTCACCAACTAAACTCATTAACAAAAAAGAATCTCAAAAGGCTACTGTTTTTAATTAGTTCAACAGAGTGAAGACGTTCAGACAGCGTAAGAGGGAGATTTGTAGAGTAGACCATCCTGTCTCCCCTTAAATGTGCAAATTTCTTAACTAAACCCGTGTCCCACCAACACCCCAATCCTACACATAGGCTTCCCTGCCACTTCTCTGCCCTAGAACTGAACCTGGTACCCTTGGCCCACATCTGTTGTGGTGTTTCAGCTGTGTCCTCCTAACTGGATCTAAAAGAAGTAAGGGATATTTCTCATCCCACAGCCTCACCACTGGTCCATAGCTCACTCTTCCTGCATGATCCAAAGGCACACCAATCCTGGCGACTCCCTGTATTTGCCATTAAATCCCATCCATCCTCTCTCAGCACACTACATACTCTACAACCAGAAGAGGGGGCCTGCTTATGGGCCATCTTCCTCAGCAACAACTATCTTTGGAATACTTTTCCCTCCTAGTCCACCAGTCTCTCCCTTCCTCATCCTTCAAAGTCACTTCCTTTGGGAAGCCTAGTTTGGCCACCCACCCTGAGCTTTGGTTAACACAATGCCTATCATACTGCAGCATAAATACCTTTGTCTTTTTTCAGCTGTGTGCTTCCTCCACAAGACTGCAATTTCCATGAAGGCAGGCACCATGCCAGACTTGTTCACTGTTATATCCTCAGTGCCTACCACCACACTTGGTAGATCTGTAACTACTACACTTATAGATGGCAAAACCCAAATAGTAGACACTTTGTTATGCCTCAAGGTACCCATAGATGTTCAATTACATTGGAGACTTTGAAAACTATAGATAGTAAAAGAACCCACTATAGTAAGATCCTCTTGGCCCCTCAGTCTCTTACCTTCCTCCACCTGGATGTAGGACTCATTAATACTGATTTCCTCTTTGCTTGGGACCAGAGCTAAAAATGAGAAGACTTGGGGAGAATAATAATAAGTGCCTTTCAATACTTCAAAAACTGTCACATAGAAAGACATATGTGGCCTTATATATGGCATTGGAGGCAGAACAAAGGCTAGTCACTGGGAGTTACTAGAAGGCAGATTTTTAATTCACCAGGAAAAATTAGGGCTGTTCTGCAATCATCTGAGCTACCTGAGGTCCAGCTTTGAGGTGTTCCTATAATAAACACTGGGGGTTTATCATGCACTGAGTCTGATCAGATCACTTCTAAGATCTTACAAACCCCAGGATCTATTTAAAAGGTAGTGAAGAGTCTTTCTTTGCCCTTTGCAATGAACTGGCTTGATCAAATGTCAGTGATCTGGGTAAAGACTTGGGTAGCCTTCAATGTATGCATTTGGGAAATCAGTGCAAACTCAAGGTCATGGCAGGGAAAAGCAGCCTGAGCATTTGGAAAGGCTTGAAGGAGGATCATGAACGTGCAGTCTGTGGCTTTTAGATCCTAGATACCCAAACATATCCAGCCTTCATGGCCTCTAAAGCATATTGCTGTCTACAGACAAAGTCCACCTGTCCCAGCCCCTTCCCTGCCAACTACATCTAAATAAATTGTCAAAAGATAGTCTCTGGTGTATACGGAGAATGGCAGCGTATGACTGACAGCACTCTCGCCCCCACCTCCTCCTACACCAGCTCAGACAGGTGTCTCTCCTGTTCTTAAAGACCTTCAGGCAAGGGGATTCAAGCAACTTCCTTCTGTCACCTAATCAGATGCCTTATGAGAGTCCCAGAGATTCACTGGCTCAGGTTTGGCAGCCATCAAGCCTAGGTGTGTCTGGTGGTGGTCCAAAAAATACACCAGCCTTGGGTTGGAGAAAGGTGGGTTTTTTCCCCTTGACAACATGAAAAGTTTGAGAACCTCCCCAAACATTTCTGTCATGGGGTCCATCAGCCATGGACTAATCATCTAGACCACTTTTCACAATACTAATTCTCCATCAAGGTGTCCAGGAGAAACTGATTAAAATTCAGATTTCTCAACTCTACTCCTAGAGACTTGAATTCAGTCATTCTGGGGGATGTGAAGGGAGCAGACTTGCCAAGACTTAAAAATCCCCCCCATGTATTGTAGGCACAGAGCATGGCTGAAATCCCTTTACAAACCCACTCTTTCGCATCTAATAACATCTCTTTGGTGGGCAAGAGTGGAAAGAACATTTAATTAGGCAACAACAGTCCCAGTTTCATGCCTCCATGTTGCCTTGTGTTTGCACTATGACCCTGGGGCTCATTTTATACACCTGCAGAATGTGGGGCATGATATCTATCTCCCCAAGTACTTTGAGAATCAGATGGGATGAGAAGGGGGAAAGTATATGACCAAATCTCCTGCTGTGCCCAAGACAGCTCCAGTTTACTTGTCTTCCTAGCATAACTATTAATAGCTTTCCTTTTCACTATCAGAAGTGTCTTTAATTGAAAGATAAATATGGTCTCCCTACCATAACACATTAACCCCATGTTAGGGTATTGCTAAGCCATTGAATTATGTGGTTATAATCATTATGGGAGGTGGCATATCATTTTATTTATCCATAATCTATGGCTCTGACCTTCAAAGATGTTCTACATCACTCTAGTGGTCTAGAATGTCCTGGGGAAGCATCCAGAAAGGTGCTAGGTGCAAGGGTGAGCACCCAGAACAAGGCTGTGGATGACATCTAGAATTCTCATCAGTAAATAAGTCTTTCCCACCCTACCCTGCCCCAGCTATAACCTTCTAGATCATGTAACTTTCAGCATTCCCTATTATGAAGATATATTTATCCTCTTAATATCCTGACCCCACATGCTAACCTCCCCTTTTCTCCCTCCCCTTCACAGTCTCTCTGGGTTGTGGGTTATGGACAGCTTTTGTTCTATATTTTACAGTGAGTATAACCAGTACTGCCCCCAACATTCCAAGTACATATGCATTTATTCATGCATGCATTCCTTCATTCAACAGACATGAATTCAGGATGCCTGTCAGTTCCCAGATATGGTCCTAAATTTGGAAAACAGCGACCTATACAGCCCTGCCTCCCCCTCACATCCTATAGCCTAAATGAGAAGACTCTCAGGCAGCAAGGTCATCCTTGTGACCAAGGATGGGGGATGCAGAGCTCAGGGGGCTGTAGGAACAAATGGCAGGGGCTTTCATAAGAAGATTTTTCCTGGTGCTTTTGGAAAGGGAGTGGAATCCTGCTTCTTGTTTCACTTCACAGTGGCTAAGTGGCTGGTAGCTTTGCTTAAAATTTAAAACTTTTTCTAGCTATAAATTTGCAATTTATATTGCCCAGGGAGATCAGAAGCTTTTTAGAGAATGAAAGACTATGCACCAAGAAGCTTCTCTGACCTGAGACAATGACTCACTGTCACCAGATGGCAAAGCAGGAAGGGGCTGCTAGGCATCTAGGTCCAACTACATCATCCATAATGAGCTTGAGGCCCAGAAAGTAACTTACTCAAGACCTATCTCCTTTGTCTGGCCGCCTTACCTGGCTGACTCCTGGAAAGACTAAGACTCTACCCCAGGTCTGATTCTACTCAAGCCACTGTCCCTCCGTGCACCCCCAAGGGTCCCTGCCCCCATCCACTGAGGATGTGTCCAAGGGGAGGGGCAGCTATGCCCACTGGCTGGCACAGCCTGGAACCCTAGGTTCCTGTGCCCATTTGCGACAGCTTCTGCCTGGAGCTGCAGAGAGGAGATGCCAGAACCATTAACAGGGATTGTTTTCAAGCAGCACAATACGTGATGTGCTTGTGAGTTGGCCCCTCCAGAGCCAGCTGTGGCTGGGCTGAGCTAGAAAGCTCAGCGGGCAGTCAGTCAATGGGATGGGGGCACATATGGCAGGTTACATGCTGCATGCAGTTCAAAAATAGCTGAGCCCAAACAATACACTGTACAGACATACACATAGATGTGATAAAACTTTTTTTAAAATAACAAGGGGATAAAGAACACAGAATTCAGAATAATGTTCATCTAGAGGCAACATGGGGGGTGATGGGTTGGTGTGGAGCCTCCATTTAGTTAGGTGGTGAGCACACAAGGATTAATTATGAGACTGTGAATTAATTTACTTATTAATTATAAATAGTATCATTATATTTATTAATAATGTATTCTGATTAATATTTATATTCTAATTAGTAGCAGTTTATTTCTTGATATCAGCTAATGTATTTACATTCTAAGAACAATAATACATTTTTTTCTAGTTACTAATGTGTGCTAGTTAATAATTATTTATGTCCTAATTACTGAGGCAGTGGTGAGTTCACAGGTGTTCGTTATAAACAAACAGAAGTGAACTGTGCCTGATTCAATGATGTCATGTACCAAGAATTAGAATTAATTCAATTCTGAGCATCTGAGGTCCTTGAAAACAAAAAGCAAATACTCTTTTCTAGATGGTCAAAGTATAGAGGATCAGAAAAGCCCACTGACAAACCCACACTACCTGGTAAAGATGTTTGCTACCTGCTGGAAGCAAAACCCCATGTGGACATTCCCCAGGTGGCTGAGGAAGCAGTGAAACAAAGTATCCCCCCAATCCTGATCTCTATATGGGAATGCTGCTGTGAGAAGGACCTATGTCAACCAGAAGGCATAGGCCTTGATGAGAAAAGGTAGTAAGCGGATGGAGTTAGCTTTCCAGTTGATGTGAAAAGCATCAACATTGGCCAAATTTACAATCTTCTTGTTCAGGCAGCCTAGCACAGAGGCAGTGGTTCTCAAACTGATTTGTGCATTACAGTCACCTGGAGGGCTTGGTAAGACACAGATTTCTGGACCCCACCCCAGAGTTTCTGATTCAGAAGATCTGGGGCAAGTCTTGACAATTTGCATTTCTAACAGGTTCCCAGGTCATGCTGATGCTGCTGGCCGCGGACTACACGGTGAGAACCTCTGCACCAAGGCATGGAAACAGGCAGTGCAGGACCTCTGGATGACCTTTCAGACCTACGTTTCTGGGGTTCTGTGCAAAGAGGAGGTGATATAATACTATAGCTGTAAAAAGACAGACAAGGGGTTCTTGGCTGGCTCAGTCAGTAGAGCGTGAAAATCTTGATCTTGGGGTTGAGAGTTCAAGCCTCACATTGGAAGTAGAGGTTACTTTAAAAAAAATAAAATCTTAAAAAAAACCAAAAAGACAAATGAGCTCAGACCTTGATCTAGACCCATGGTCTTTGAGCCTCTGAAATATAGTCCTCATTGTTTCTCACAGGGACTTGTGACAAACTACAGTGGGAGTATGACCATAGAACAGGAAGAAACTGACCCAGTGGGCTGGAGACTTTAATACGAAGGGCAAATCCTCATTATCCCTCAGGCAGCCAGGGGCTGAGTCCTTCGATTCTGAACTTAAGGTTAACCAGGACTCCTTCCTGTGGGGCATCAGGAATGTTGTTCCCGCCATCACAGTGCCAGAGAACCACCTCTGGGCAGGGGTGGGACAGCCTGTCTGCTTGACCTCAAGGAATGGAAATAAACTCAGGGAAGCGAAGCCCCCAGCTGAAAGCTATGGTCTAGATCCTAGGCTTTACAAACACACAATATTTCCCAGAGTATCCCTGCCACCCTTTCTCATCACCTGTAGCAGGGCAGACCCCGGTGGAAACATCATCCTGGAGATGGTAGAGGCAGGGCCAGCTTCTGTGGCTCCATCCCTGGCTTCCAATCACAGCAATGGTCCTCAAGCAGGCTCCTGTTCCACCCTCCCACCACTGCCACACCCCACCACTGTGAGGCTGAGTCTTACTTACCCTTCAAGGTCCAGGTAAAACCTCCCTTCTCCCTCCTAGCCATCCCTGCCTACCAGGAAGACAATCTCTCCTGCTGCCACTCTAAGAAGGGGAACAGCTAAAAATGACCAAGGTTGGGGGCCTCTGGTTTTCCCCAGGACAGGGTGCACCAGCACTGGGCCAGATGTTGGAGACCAGAAGATCATGATCTTGGTGGTCAGGAGACACCAGTTCTGGAAAAAAACGTTTTTTTCTTGGAGGGGCTGGATAAACCTCTTGCCCTCCTGTTAATAGGTCAAAGAGGATCAATCATTGTCACCAAGGCTTCAGGAAGTGAAGAATCATGTCCTTGGACTCTGGTAGAGCTCACCTACCCTTGGCACATGCATGCTGGCTTGCCCCTAATGACATGCTCCTGCTTCCCAAGAAGACTTCACATGCATGGCCAATAGGAACATGTTCCCAAGAGCAGGACTCAGATCTTCATATACTCATTTAACAGTGATCTGTTTAGAACCCACTACAAGCCAAACACTGCTCTAGAAGCCCAGAGTGCAGAGATTCATGAGATGTGATCCCAGCCCATGGGGAGACTGAGAATTGCAAACAGAGTGAAAAATGTTGAATAAGCTACATCTGACATTGAAATCCTGTGTAGTTGTTTCAAAAACAAAAAATAAAAATAAAATAAAATAAAGTAGTTATGTCAATGAGGCTGTGAAAGTGTCTCCAAGGTATATTGTTTGTTTGTTTGTTTGTTTTGTTTTTTAAGTGGGCTTCAAGCCCAGCATGGTGCCCAACATGGGACTTAAACTCACGACCCTGAGAGCAAGACCAGATCTGAGATCATGAGTTTCTTGCTTAAGTATGCCCTCTAAGGTTTATTGTTAAATAAAGACAAGGTAGCAGAGGGCAGTGTGTTTGGTATAAGTCAACCCATGTTTTAAGAAAAGTGTAGTTTGGATGTGGTACCATAGTTGGGGGGAGCTGGGTAAAGGGTTCACAGGACTCTATGTACTATCTTGGCAACTTCATATGAGAAATATTTCAAATAAAAAGCAAAAAATAAAAAGTGGTTAACATATGCTTCTGGGGCACAGAACTGGGCTGGAGTGGGAAGAGGACTTTTTCCTTGACTTTTTTTTTTTTTTAATTTTTTTAACATTTATTTATTTTTGAGACAGAGAGAGACAGAACATGAACAGGGGAGGGTCAGAAAGAGAGGGAGACACAGAATCCAAAGCAGGATCCAGGCTCTGAGCTGTTAGCACAGAGCCCGACGCGGGGCTTGAACTCACGGACCGTGAGATCATGACCTGAGCTGAAGTCGGACGCTTAACCGACTGAGCCACCCAGCTGCCCTTCTTGACTTTTTTATACCCTTTTTTTTACATTTCCATGACAAACATAAGCACAAGATGTCAGGAAGCCCCAAGAAGAACTCCTAAACTTAACCAGGAGTGAAGGAAGGGATCAAGTAATATCTGAGCTGAGAGATGAGGCCTGTGCTGGGATTGTCCAGGTGAGGAGTGGGCATAGGGGAGGTGTTTGGGGCTGAATTGTGTTCCCTGAAATTCATGTGCTGAGGCCCTAATCCCCCTGCACCTCAGAATATGACTATATTTGGAGATAGAGCCTTTAAAGAAGCCTTTACAATAAGGTCTTTGGGTGGGCCCTAATCCAATCTGGTTTGTGTCCTTTTAGAGTCTCCTCATACAAATACATAAATGTCCTAATCTCTTAGGACACCAGAGAGACACCAGGAGTACATGCCCTGTGAGGACAGAGAGAGAAGGAGGCCACCTGCAAGCCAAGGAGAGAGCCTCAGGAGAAAGCAAACTTGCTGGCACCTTGATCTTCCAGAACTGTGAGAAGTAAATTTCTGTAGTTTAAACCACTAGCCTGTCATACTTTGTTATGGCAGCCCTAGCAGACTACTGCAGGGAGAAAGGAGATGACAAGAGCCTCTGACAAAAGACCCTCTTGTCCCCGTGAAACACCTGGGTGGACAAAGGGTTGGCATGTGCAGAGGCAATAGCCTAGAGATTTAGGAACCCTTTCTAAGTTCAGGGGACTGTGAGGTGCTCAGTGTGACTGGACCCTGTGTGTGGTGCAACAATGAGACAGGGGAGGAAGGCAAAGCAAAGGAAGGGCAGTGAGAAATGAGTTGGGAGAAGTTGGTAGGGGGCCAGGTATGGTGGAACCCCCACTTACAGGGCAAAGACATGTGGGTTTACCTGCTTCAGGCAATGAGGCACCTCTGAAGGGGGGCTGGGAGGGGAGCTCAGGTGGTATTTGGGGAACAGTGTCAGGAAGGATGGATTGGGGCAGAAGGAGACAGAGAGACATAGTCTGCAGCCTACCAAGAGATTCATTGAATCCTGAAGTAGGGCACAGTGGTGAAGATGGGGAAATCTTATCACACTCTGTATCCTTACCCCTCACACAGACTATGCCTAGAAAATGTTCAATGAACAAATGTGCCCCTGAAATTGGGCTTCCCCCCTGCTTCTCTCCACCGAACACATACTCTCAGCTCTGATCATACAATATACACTTTCATTTACCTTCTCCTTTTGGCAGCCAAAAGTGTGGGGAAGTGCTGGAGAAGGCTTACAAGATGCTAAGCAAGGGCTTATGCCCCAGGTCCTTTCCCCAGGTCAGGCCAGCCCTGGTCACTTCCACAAAGCCTCAGCATGGAAGGTGGGGAGGGTCTGGAGTGCCAACAAAAGGCTCACCTGTGGAAAACCCCATTTTCTTGTGGCACTTGGTAAATTCAATATTAAAATAGGTGACCAGGGCGTGGATGTAGTCATTTCGCTGTATCTGCAGGCAGAAGGCAGATGTGAATGACAGCTCTTCCGTCTTCACCGTGTAAATGTCCACTTCCTGTGGCCCAGAGAAAAGAGAATGCCAGACACTTAGCATCTTCACTAAGTCTGGGTCCTGGTCAGCAGCTACATTCCCGTGGAAGACCACTGCTCTGGGGCTACCATTTACTCTTGGATGGAACCCCAGGCCCACCCACCACCTCCCAATGACCTCATCCATCCTTTCTTAGGGTGGGGTATGCTCAGGCAATGGTGCAAACACATTTGAATCAGAATGTGAGGGCAACAGAATTAGGAAGGTAAATCTGCTGGGGATGGGGGCTTATGGAGCAGAGGGTGGAAAAGGGAGAGGATTAATGAGACAGAACATTCCTGAACCCAATCTGAACAGCCTCAGAGCAGTCCACCTCAGCACTGCTCTGCTCATCTAGTTGTTCTCAAAGTGCGGTCCCAGATGATGGGCATTAGCATCACCTGGGTGCAAATTCTGTATGGGTGGGGTCGGGAGGGCATCTCAAACCTATGGGATCAAAACAGCAATTTGTACTTTATCAAACCCTCCCAGTGATATCAGTGAACCAGATTAGTCATTTCCCAATTTTTTGATATTCAAGTTCCCAGCAACAGGAGATACCAAGTATTATCTTAGGAGTGACGAACTGAGCCCACCCACAGTCACAGACTAAACTAAGGGGAGCCCTGCTGACCATCTACACCAAACCTGAAAGGAAGGAAGGAAGGAAGGTAGGAAGGAAGGAAGGAAGGAAGGAAGGGGAGAGGGAGGGAGGAAGGAAGGAAGGCAAGAAGGAAGGGAGGGAGGGAGGTAGAGAGAGAGAAAGGGAAAGAGAGAAGGAGAGAGGGAGGGGGAAGGAGGGAGGAAGGAAGGGAGGGAGGCAGGAAGGAAGGAAAGAAGGAAGGAAGGAATGTAGGAAGGATGTAGGAAGGAAGGAAAGGAAGGAAGAAAGAAAGAGAGAAGGAGAGAGAGGGAGGGAGAAGAAGGAAGAAAGAAAAGGAAACAATAAGAGGTAAGAATTTTTCAGTTCTGGCCAGGAAATGGAGAGCACAAAGAACTAATAATTCTAACAATTTCAGCTGGGAAGTGGCTGAAAATCAATGTTGCGTGGGGAGCAAGTATAATGAAAGACAGTTTGCAATATGCTGTTCTTTTCTGTGTGAAGGATGCTGACCTGCTATTTGCTGGCTCCGATGAGACAGGTCCAACCTTCCAAGAGCCCTAGAGGCATCCAGACAGCTTTCAGAGGTCTAAGGAAGCTTCCCATTGTCGGGGGTGTGTAGCAAGGACCTCTGTCCTGAAGACTTTGTAAGAACCAGAAAGATATCTGTGTGCCTGGACTGGTTCCAAGGGGCTCTCCTGAGACCCAGATGATAGAATACATTGGGGATAATTAGAAGAGGGGTCTGAAGGTGGGAAAACAAGAGCAGGGAAGACACAGAGTGATGTAGTAGAAATGGTTTTTATCTCTATATATTTCTAGGATAAATAAAGGAAAGGCAGATGCAAAGCATCCCAAGGCCCTCAAAGAGAAGTCCTGCCTCCAAGGGGGTGGACAAAGGAGGAGGTGCAGTCAAGGGAGAAGGTCAGATAAGAGTCCTATTGTGGTCTGGGTTGTGCAGCCATCACATCCTCTGAGGGAAGCTGAAGCTCTGACCTATTAGTTGGGAAGACAGTGGAATGCAAATTTAGGGGGATGGGGAGCTCCTCAGTGATGTCACCTCATCAATTTTGCTGTGCTTCTGGAACCAAGGATGGGGAACAAGAATTAATGGGATGGGAAGCCCTGGGTTGAGCATGTAGAATTTGATGGGATTAGAAAGCCAGTCTCCCTTCATTCAGTGCAAGAGCCCCTTTGTGGTAGCATTCCTGGGAAGTGGCCCTCTGATGCTTGCTTGGACACCTTCATGGATGATGTATTCACTACCTGCCAGGCAGCTGATTCCATTTCCTGACACCTCCAATGCACAGCTCCCTCTTCTAAATGAGTAAGGAGAGTACACACCAGTCTCTGTAACTTCCACCCATGGAATAAGTCAAATGTCTATTCTAGCTCACATGGGCCCCCTGAACATTTTCTTCTCCAGCATAAACTGTGTCTTCTTTTTTATTCACTTTGCATGAGTCATGATTTCTGACTCTGTCACCCTTCTTGTTTGGGACATACTTCTAGCAGCGTCTGATCTCAAAGACCACACTGCTGGCTCAGACTTCACTCTGGCCAAGCCACCTCCCCCCACCGCATCCTGCTCATGTTCCTTTTTTCCTTTTGTCCTGGGAACCGAGTGTAGGGTCATCCATCATATGTCATCCTGTTAAGTTTGGGTCATTGCTCCTTTTTAAACCCAGCACCTGTTAGTCATGACATTCATTATCCCTCTGGTCACGTATTATCCACAGTTCTTTCCAGCTCAACAACTCAGAGCAAAACGTGATTAACTGTATCTTTGTTACTGGCATCAGCACAGTCCACCAGGCTCATGGTACCTGCACTCATGGACTACCATCTCTTTCTTAGCCAGGGCCAGACAGCCAGGCTCCAGGCTCTTTCCAAGGTTCTTGTTATCTTTCTCTCTTGGTCCCCTGCCTCCAGCCTAGCCTGGCCTTTCCGCTGTACTTCTGGCTCATCTCAGCAGCCTGGCCCCTACCATGAGACTGGAGCCAGAGCAGGGGATGCCCATTATTGGTCTGTGTACCCATGCTGTGTAACCTAGCACCTGACACCTCTCAGTCTTCTCCTTACAGGTCTCCCTGCTTGACAATGTTCCTGCCTACCTCCCCCAAACCCCATCCCAGACCTTTCCTCTAAAGCAACCCACTAATCTCTCAGATCCATTCAGACTGTGCTGCTCCCTGAATCCAAACCCTTCCATGACTTTTTATGGGAAGACCTGGGAAGTAGGCTCTGTGACACATTTGGACCAGGCTCCTTTCTCTTGTCAACTCTCTCACTTCTTCACCACTTTCGGGGCACACACACACACACACACACACACACACACACCACACCCGTGGATCAGGAATTCCACCTCCACAGGGTCCTGCTCTCAGACATGCATCAACCACTGTCAGCTATCCTGTGTTAGCTGACAGTGTTCACTAGGTCCTACAGATATTTGCATCTTAATAGGGGCTTCTGAAGGAACAAAAGCCTTCAAGACAGAAGTAATGAAGCTATACATTAAAATGAAGACAATGGAGGGGCGCCTGGGTGGCACAGTCGGTTAAGCGTCCGACTTCAGCCAGGTCACGATCTCGCGGTCCGCGAGTTCGAGCCCCGCGTCAGGCTCTGGGCGGATGGCTCAGAGCCTGGAGCCTGTTTCCGATTCTGTGTCTCCCTCTCTCTCTCTGCCCCTCCCCCGTTCATGCTCTGTCTCTCTCTGTCCCAAAAATAAATAAAAACGTTGAAAAAAATTTAAAAAAAAAAATTAAAAAATTAAATGAAGACAATGGAGGCAGTTGGTCTTTTGGAATGGGGGCAGGGCCATCTGCAAAGGTGGCCAGCTGCTCTGGGCTTTGGAGGCACAGAGGCCCCTCTGGGCTCAGGCCCACCCTCCTATCATAACCAAAGCCTACAGAGCCAAACCTGGTTACTCTGGCTTCCTAGATCCCAGAGCCCCATGCTGGAAGGTTTCTGTCTTCCTGCTGCAGCAGTATCTCTGACACCCCAGGAGGACTTGGCCTCCAGCAACCCCCATGAAAGCTCCATAGGTACCAACTACTGAGAAGAGCCCCTGGCCGCCATTATCCCCACCACTAAATAATGTTACAAATGGATGTCTCAGAGCGGAGGTCTGGTCAAAACAGAGTCTTAATTATAATAAAGTGTTACACTCTAAAACGTTAATAGCGATGAAAACAGCAATTAAGTGTGTGAAGAAGGGCAAGTGTTTTCCCAACAGGCTTGACAAAATGTTGCTTAGCACATTAGCAAGAAAGCTGACGGAGGGGCTCTCTTGGTTGCAGAAGAAAACACAGACAACTCTTATCCTTCTCAGAAAAGAGAGGAAGGAAGGTTACTGCATGGGGATGGGGCAGGACCTCAGCACAGAGCTCCAGGCTCGACACACACTCATAGCCACAAGGAGTTTACAGGAGTGTGTATAATGCCCTCACCGAGTTTGTTTACTTTGTCTCTGGCTGCACTTAGGTATAACCAGGTGAAAGAGTCTTACTAGGAGAGGGGAGAAGGTGGTGGGAAGGCAGAGTGGCCTTGGAGGTGGGGTGGGGGTGAAGCATCATGTGCCTGTGACCTACAGAAGCACAGTGTCCACACCCATCCCACCCCACCAAAGGCAGAAAGCAACCTGGGGCCCAAGCACAGTAAAGGAATTATATCTTCAAGCTGATTCCATTACATGCAGGTGCCTAATGGTTACATATAACTGCTACATGTCATTTGGGCAAATTCAGTTGCACCAGTAGATTTCTATCTATTCTACAGTACTTACAAAAATGTTTTGTGCTATGGGTGGGCTTATTTGGGGGTTCACTTTCCTGCTTCTTCATTGGGGCAGGGAGAGGGAGAGGCTTCAGGGACAGAGGGGCTGGTAGGAAATAACTACAAGAACACGTTTGCTTGCAATCAACCCTGCCTGGACTTGGAACGGACCAAGTTAAGAAGTAGTGAGAACACCATCAACAGAGGGCCCAAGACTTAGTTCCCAGCCACACCTCCTAGGCAGGATGTTACAAGAGGGAGGCAGCATCTGATGAGTCTCATCTGTGTGAGGCTCATCTAGTTTTATTTGTCCTCAGAGGTCCCTTCTAAATGCCACAGTGACACTATGGACCAGGAGTTATGGTTCTTCTTAGGAAGACTGCGCCCAGGCACAAAGGACAGTTCTCCCTTGGCAAAGCAGTGGTTTACATCAGAACTTCAGAAACCTCTCCTCATCCCCAGTGGCCCTATACTCTTCCCCTTTATCCATTGAAAATGCTGCAGGTCTCCAGCTCAGTACTCCCAGACAGGAAGTGACATGTACAGGACCAGAGCAGGCAAGTATGTTTTAGCAAGATGAGGGCTGCATGAGCCAATGAATACTTACAGAACGAACCCAGATTTTTAAACGAAAAAGTTAACTTCAACCATATGAAAGTGATGTCTTTCTAGATTTTAAAAAACAAATAGTCATTTATATGGTTCAACATAATATATTAGCATATATAAATGCAAATACTTAGAAAAGGGGCTGGAAATGTCAATACAATGTGTAAACAATATTACCTCCAAGAAGTGCATGGGGTTGAGAAGGAGGAGAGGTCAAGGGGAGCTTTTGGTTTTACTCTATCAAGTTTGATACATTTGAATATTTAATCATAAGAATGCACTAAGGATCGGTGTGCTGAGGATGCTGACCAGCTGCTCATCATATGCACTGAAGAAAGCCTTGTAAGAAAAGCTGTTCGAGCCTGTACAAACAAGACTACTCAGGAAGGAGGTTGAGTAGCTCTGTCTGTCTGGGTCACATGTAGACTCGGAGGTGGGAGTATAATGAAGATTACAGCAGATTTAGGTATTGGATTTCTTTCCTAAGAGGGCCATCCACCTGTGAATGGAGTAGCTTCCCCAAACCTGAGCATACCCTCCTGCCTCTCCTTTGATGCTCCCTCCCCCACACCCTTCCACTTGCATCACAAAGGATATAAACTGATTCCTTCCCCTCAGCTGTGCCACCGTGGAGTCCAGTGGCTCTCTCTCTGGCTCTGCTCAGTGTGAGCACCTTCTTGTGACAGGCCGTAATGTTGGGATGCCAGAGGCTCCAGCCAAGGTGGCCTTGCCTCACCAGGCAGGGGGTGTGCAGGAGCTGGTATTGCCTTTACTTAAGGCCCACAGCTTTCCAGGGTGGCACAGCTGGATTCCCAGCATGCTTGGGCCCAAGCAGAATGAGTCTGCAGACCTTTATTAAACAGGCATTGGTCACCACTTGCTTTGGATCCACGATGTCCACCAGGGGCTCCTTCATGGCGACATCCCGGATACAGGTCATATCAAAGCCATAGACATTCTCCCACCCTGTGAAAACAGAGTGAGACATGAGGGCCAGCAGCAGGACCTCCAGAAGTATTCCCAGCTCTCCTGAATACTAGAGCACAGCATGCCCAAGAGAGCAAGGGACAGCTCATGTTCCCTGCATCAGAATAGAAAAATTGCTTGTCTGGGTGGAGAGCTTGGCAGTATGTACAGATCTCACTTGATGGTTAGGAAAACTAAAGATCAGAGGGGCTGAGAAACTTCTCTATGGCCACACAGCTAGAATATCACAGGAAGCTAGTCTTCCACAGGCCAAGACCAGAATCCAAATTGCCTGACTCTTCCTGTGTCTACTTTCCTGTCCCTCCCTCTGAGCCAAAAGAGTCTCCTACAAAGTCTTATTTGCCATTGACGTTTCTATCTTGGTGCCTTTGTTCAAGCCGTTCTGCATACTTAGAAGACCCATCTTTGTCCCTTCTCCTGACCTCACCCACCGAACCTTTAACAAAGCATGAAGAAACATGGGCTCTTAAAATGGTATAGGCTAGTTTGAATCCCAGCACCACCACTTACTGGCCAGGGCCTTGGGCTAATTCCCTAACCTCTCTGAACCTCAGTTTTCTCAACTGAAAAATGAAAGGGGAGAGTGGGTCCATGAACGTCTTTGCCTTTTTCATATGCCATGATGCACTCACTAGGAATCCATCCCATAAGAAATAAGCCCCAAGTAGTGCACAACCATCCCAGTGGTGCTCATTGGCCCCTTGTAGCTGCTCATAAGGTGCTTTGAGAGGGAGAAAGATGTAGGGTGCAGGGTTGGTGAGTAAATGAATGCACATCTAATGGCCTAAGATCATCCTTAAATGGTGATAATCATTGCTACCATTGAATGGCCACCTAGCTCAGGCTAGACTCTTCATTTTTTTATGTTTATTTACTTATTTTGAGAGAGAAAATGCAAGCGGGCAGAGGGGGAGAGAGAGGGGGAGAGAGAAAGAAATCCCAAGCAGGCTCCACATTGTCAGTGCAGAGCCCAAAGTGGGGCTCCATCTCATGAACCTTGAGATCATGACCCGAGGCAAAATCAAGAGTCAGACACTTAACTGACTGAATCACCCAGGCACCCCTAGACTCTTCATTTAATATACCCAGCAACCTCAAGGGGATACTTCTATCTGACAGTCAAGGAAACAGGCTGGGAGAAGTTGGCATCTGGCTCACACAGAGTATCTGGGCCAAGATCACACTCAGAGAGATGGTGGAGCTAAGGCTCACCCCAGCTTCTCCCCTGACTCTTCAGCTGCAATGACCCAGTTGTGACAGCAACCAGGAATGCAATTTCCTTTCCTTGTACTGCAGAGGGTGGCCTAAGCAGAGATTTTAGTTACTGAGCAGCTGAATTTCATTTGTCTGTTTATTCAGATGAGTCTAGAAATGCATCAAAGTAAAGATGCTTTTCTCAAAATCTTACGGGATTAAGTTTCCTTTTAAAATGTGCATCAAATAAATGTTACCTTAGGGAACTATGTTTCTGTATGTTTAGGAGAGGAGGTGTGTGAAGAGGGAGGTGGGGACGGTCAGCTGTGCCTCTTTGACTCTTTTCTAAGGCACACAAAGACCTTCCTCAGGGAGAAGAGGCAGAGAAAATAATCATCTCCCAGAGGACAAGCCCTTGTGAATTCTGGCTTGAGGATAAGATGTCAGTCATATACCATTAAATCACCTAAGGTTGGTGCCAAATTCCCAGTTGGAATTTACTTTTGGAGAAGGAAACTGTTTGGTTGGCAATGGGACATGTTTCAGAGAAGACCCCCTTCTAGATTCTGGAAATAGCTATCTGTCCTCTCTCCAGACAAAACATTTACACTAAACACACTGCCTTCATGTAAAATCCTTCCTTAAGGAACCTGCTGCCGTGTTCCTGCTCCTTCCTCTCTCAGCCCTGCCTTAAGCTGAGGTGTAGGGCAACTGTTGGGCAAATATCCAAGAAGTCTCTGTGCATAATGGTTAAAGGCCTAAGCTTCAGAGTTCAAATCGAGGCTCTGCCATATATTTGCTATGTAATCTCAGCGAAAATTTACCTCTCAAAGAGTTGGTTTCTTCTTTAAAATAGAGATTATTATATAATTACAATGACTCTATTTGGTTGTTATGAGGTTTAAATGTGATAATATATGCAAAGTGCATAAGACAATGTCTGGCACATAGAAAGCTGCTGATACATAATAGTTGTTATCATTATGTGGCTTGAGCTCTGGGCTTTGCCACCATCTCAGCTGTGTGACCATGGACAGATCAATCCTTTTATCTAGGCTTGCTTGTAAAAGTGAGGAGTTTGGTTCAGTGCTTCTGTGCTCCAAAATCATCTGGTACACTTTTTAAAAATACAAATTCCTGGGCCCAAACCAGACCTACTGAATCAGAATCTCCAGATTTGGCATCGAGGAAGCTGGGATTTTACAAATCTATATAGGTAATTCCAACCAGAGTGTGAAAAACTTTGTGTTAGATGATCTTTAAAGGCCCATGCAGTTGTGAAATGATGAGCTTAATGTCTTATGCTTTTGTGAAACCTTTCCTAACCACTCCCAACAATGGGACTACTTCTATATTCTCAACACCTATAGGCCAGCATCTAGCACAATACAAGTGCACAGATAATGCTTTTTAAATTAAATTTAATTCTCAAATATTTAATGTCTACATTGCTTTGCAATGCCCAGTGTTTTAGTTACTTTTTCAGAGGTTAATTCCTATTTTTCTCCCCAGCTAAACTACCCTGTCTTCAACTATTCAGGAGAAAGTTCACCCAGGACATTAGATTAGTTTTCTCTTCTTTCTGCTAACCGTTCATTTCCCACTAGCTCCTTTAATATATGTGGCTCAGGGATGGGACAACAACAAATCAAATAGGTTTGTTTTTTGCTGCAATTTCTTGTCTATTGCCTGAGTGTATGTGGAGTGAGGGCTATTGTCTACCCAAAAATATTGTTAATAATTTTCTTATTTAAATTGAAAAAAATAACATCAGAAAGACCTGTGAACTTTTGTTAATGGATTAAAAACCAAACTCTTGAAAAGGACTGCCCTGTGGTATAATTAATGCAATTAAGGCAACAACAAAGCCCAGACCTATCATCATTACAGACTAGATTGACTCAAATTTCCACTTTAACAGCCTGACAGAGGAAAAAGCATACTCTTTTCTGGGCATAAATGCTGTGCATCTGTCTCTATTGTGCCTTTAATGACAATGCCCAGCATTAAGAAAAAAATTACAAGGTGAATGATAAAGGAAAAAAATATGACCCATAATCAGAAGAAAATAACAGTCAACAGAACCAGACTTAGAGACAGCCCAGATATTGGAATTATCCAATGGAGACTTTAAAGTACCTATAATAAGTATGTTAAAGAATCTAATGGAAAAACATGCATGAACAGATGGAGAATTTCACTGGTGAGACAGAAACTAAAAATGAGCTGATGGAAATGTTAGAAATGAAAATCACATATCAGAGAAGAAGAATTCTTTCAATGTGCTTACTAACAGAATGCAGACATCAGAGGAAATAATGAATAAACCTCAAAATAGGTCAATAAAAATTACCCAAACTTAAATACAAAGAGAAAAATAAAAGAAAAAAAACATATATAACACCCAAGATCCATGGGGCAATATCAAACAGTATCTGATATATGTGTAATTGGACTCCCCGAAGAAGAGAAAGAGAAATCAGGCAGAAAAAAATATTTGAAGAGATAATGACTGAAAATTTTCCTAAATGAATGAAATCATCAGCCCACCAATCCAAGAACGCTATAGAATCCCAAGTGGGATAAATACAAAGAAAAACTCACATAGACACATCAAAGTCAACCTGATGAGTATCAAAATAAAGAGAAAATCTCAAAAGCAATTTGCAGAAAAAGAAATATGAAGCACTAGAGAACACATTTTACATTTCATTGGAGAGAGCTGTAGCTACATCCTCCTTTCCCACCCTGGCCCCACGACTTGAGTTTCTCTGCTAGAGCTAATGGGGCTGCCTCAGAATGTGCTCAGAGATAAAAAAAAAAAATAGAGCAAGTGCCACCAGGTGCTAATTACAGTTTCTCTTCTAGACAGAAGGGAAAACTTTCATACATTTCAGTCTCTCAAGAATGGAATCAACTCCTTCTATAAAATCAGAGACAGCCAGAGGATAGAACTCTGGATGTTGGGGGTGAAGTTGGAAAAGAACCCCATGGAAAGCAACTGAGTCCTCCAAGTGGTCCTGCCTTTCAACCCTCCAGTAGCAGGCACCACTGACTCCATAGGAGGCCTTCCTTTTCGTCTTCTCATGAGCCAGAAAGCTGGTCCCCATGTCTCCGACTCTCAGTAGGTTGTAGATTCACGTATTGGGTGAGGTTCATGTATTGGCTAAGAAATCAAATACAACACTGACCACATTTCCTTCCAGTTTTAAGATTCTATAAATCTCGATAGCAGAAATGTAAAAATAAATAAATAAAGGTTGCTCCTCTCTTGGGGTTAAACACTACACCTTGAACATTCCTTTACTATTTATTTTCATTCCTTTATTTGTTCATTCATTCACTCAACAAAATATGTACTGTGAGTCTAGTACATGCCAATCATTCACTTCTCTTTTTGTGTGTTCTCTAGCAGTTGATGAGCATATTGAAGGCAACTTCTGTGTTTCACTCATTCTTGTGTTTCCATGTTGCATGTGGTTGAGAAAGGAAAGGAGAGAAGAAAGGAGAGGGGAGGGAATAGGGGATAGGGGAGGGAAGGAGGGGAAGAGGGGAGAAGGGAAAGGGAGGGGCAAGGAGGAAGCTGTTTTGTAACAATTTACTTTATGAAAGGGTCTAGGCTGGTCTCATTCTCCTGCCCCACTTTAAGATTTTTCTTTTTTAGCTGGTTCTTGAAATTTGCTTACAATTGTTCCCTTAGCAACCAGCAACCTTTATGCTTTACTTTTGCTTTAGAACTCAGAGTAACCAAAATCTCTGTTTATTTGAAACAGATTTCTAAACGGGCTCACTTCCTTTACTAAAAACAAAAACATATCATTAAAAAATTTTTAAATGGAAAACTTCACAGTGTTTTAAATTTTAAATGTATGTATGATTTTATTTGGGGGGGGTTGAGGTTTTTTGGAGGGGCAGAGGTTGGATAGAAGACTCCAGAGCAAACATTTTATGGGAAAAAAGGAGGCTGATGTAATTTTTTTTTCCATTCCCAGAAGCTATGAAAATTGAAGTGAGCAGTGTGAGATTAAATCACATGATCTCCAGTCCTGGACTAGCATCTGAGTGGCAGCAATTGCCCTCTTGCACCTCCCAGGGTCTGCCCAGGGTCCTCTCCAGCTCCAGCTGGCTCATTACAACATGCATATGCCACAGGTTCCCAAACACAATCCAGGGGAAGGAAGAGGGCAAGGTATGTTTGCTTTTAAACCATGAAAAAGTTCCTTAAAGAGCTGTGCCCTGGGTCAGGACTCAATAAATATTTACACATAAGAATGAAGAATGCACCTGAAGTTTCTCCTCAAAACACTATTCAGTATAGTTACACAGCAAGAACTCCAAAAGCTGCATTATAATGCAGCTCCAGGGCAAAATATGCCCTATTTTACATGCATTTGATCAACGTTCACTGTTGAGTTGTTTCTGCAATCTACTGTGAGAGCACACCTGTCCTACATTCTGAGGCACCAGAGGCCAACAAGCTTGGCAGTCAGTCTCGCTTGCCAGAGCTACAAACAAGAAGGGGCTTAGTGACATGTTCAGAACCTAGGTCCAGTCTGGTGCCATATACCACCAGGAACTGTCACATCCTTTGATATACATCATCTCACTTAATCCTCATGGTGCTAGTGTATGGGATTGGCAATATAATCTCTGAGGTCAAAGGGGTTAGAGAATTTGTTTCCAGTCATCCAGGTAGGATTTGAACCCAGGGTTGACAGTCTTTGAATCATGATCATCTAACCTAGGCCACCCTCCCTCTCATTGCTCATCAAATGTTAGAAATGACACCAGACTGGCTGAAGACAGAGGCCATAGAGCTTCAAATAACTGTCCCATTACTGTCTTCTCCTGGATCTGGCTCTGATGTTATATTATCATCAAATGTGATCTGTGTTTTGATGTTATATTTCCAGAAGGGTTTGAACATACACACACAAATATTCACATTCCATAGCACAGTCCAGCTGAGGTATTGTTGGGCACTAGCAATACTTAGATGGCAATTGTGTGAATCAATGGAGCAGTACTCTGTCAAACTCTGGAGTCTCTGCCTCCCAGGGCAGAAGGCGTTGAGCATATGTTCAGTCTGTGAACCCTTCCATGGTAATCTTGCCAAGGAGGGTTTGTCCACTGCAGGGGTAGGAACCGCAGGTCTACTGACTCCATCACTGTGTGGAGTTTCTGCCTCATGCTTGGGGTTGGATCATGCACGTGCTTGCCTGTGTGAGGGGTTCTTTACTCCTTTGTCATGTTTAGCTCTGGTTGAGGAGACATGGCCATTTCTAACTTACAAAAACACATTTGGAATAAGCTTGAAGACCTAACTTGTGTCACCAAGAAATGCTACCCTCTAAATTGAAAAGAACAAAGCATCCCTTTTGGACCAGATAAAACATTGGAGAGGTTGTTTGTTTTTTTGTTTGCTTGCTTTTTTTCCCTAAGAGAACAAGGTTTCAGGTGATAAAGCAGTATAAATATAGGTTTGGATATGAGACGCCCAACATGCACACACACATATGCATGTACCCATGTGCACACACACAGTCTCCATCTCTCCCCACCCCCACTGCTGTCCATTCCCCCAAAAGAACCTCAAAGAAGAATTTGAGTAGCATGGAGACAGGATTGAGAATGGTCGACCTGGCTAGGAATCTGCCATTTCTGACCCTCTGTGGTGGACTTTTGAGATAACTGAACCTCCACAGGATCCCAGCCAGCTGGCCTGATGTGCTCTGCAAAAATCAGCTTCAGCTGCTTCGATTCATTTTTCATTCACATTGCATTCATTCTCTCAGTCCAGGATATGTATCTTATACCAGCTGTATTGCTTATTTTCTCTCTGTAGACCTCCCACCCTTGGGACTAGAAGAAAACATTTAGAGAGAAGAATCCAGAATAAGTCACAGGTAAACTCTCCATAGGCATAGCAGCTATATTCATGAGATCAGATGCTCATCTCAGGGCCAATGAAGTGTCTCCAACCCCAAATGTACAAAAAAAAATATCCAATGAAAACTTAAAAGGTGACTTACAGTGGATTTTGAAGTCCTTGTACTGTCTGTCTTCAATTGCTACCACGTACAATGCTGCCCGGTCTGGAAACATAAGCCCTCCAGGTTTCTGTTGATGAATTGTGGGGAAATGGGTCTCGTAATCTATTCACCTGACAAAGACATCACATTTTGAACTGCACATAGAGTCACCAGACAGGCATCCCCTTGCCAGCATTTCTCATTCAGCAGACTGTCACCTTGGCCAGGGTTAGGGTTAGGATGGCAATGCTCAGTTTTTCTTTGGGAACTAGGAGAATTTGAGGGACTTAGGTAGAGTTAATAGAACAAATGAACTGGGGAAAATGTTAGTCTATGAGGAACAGCAAAAGATGTTATAACCTTTAGCCCAGAGAAGCCAAGGTCATAAGCATGCTCAGCTCCCTGGCAGCCAAATAAGTCCTAAGCACCTGTTGATCAGAATAGATTTTTGTCTTGACAACAGAGAATGGGTGTTGTTTATGACCAAAGAGGCCAAGGATAGACCTACAGAATAATGTGATAGATATGTTGGACCCAGGTACCATCATTCTGTCCTCTAAAGCAGATCTGGTTTAAAGAGAGGGTTCTGGAGGAGGTGACCTTTTAGCTCAACCTCTCTCTGGAGTACTCATGTTCTTCCTAGACCGTCGGCCAAGGGTAGAGCAGCAGGACAGCCAGCAGACCAACAAGGGGACAGCATGCAGGACACTTACCAGCCACTTGTCCCTGGCAAAGATCACCGTGTTGAGCATTGACTCATAGAACAGACAGTAGCCCATCCACTCGCTGATGATGATGTCTACCTTCTCCACAGGCAGCTCCACCTCTTCCACTTTACCCTTAAATATGGTGATGACTGGAAAATATGAACCCCACGGCCACACTTTGCAGGGACCCTAGCCTGGAACCATGAGCATCCCACATCAGGGCCAGAGCTACAGGTTTTATCCCTGTTCTGATTCTGCTTTTAAGATGTGACATACCTCATCCCTCACCAAGCTAGTTATACAAAAAGAACTGCAAACTACTTGTGTGTTTTCTTCCTAAAATCTACTGAGCAGTCATTATGCGTCTGGCCCTGTGCCAAGCTTGTGATATACACCCTATAATGTGGTCTTCCCAGCAACTCTAGAAGTAAACGCGTTATTATTATTCTCATTCAGAACTGAAGCTTAGAGATGTTAAATGGTGGCTGTGGAAGTAGAGACCAGGTCTGATATGCTATAACTCTAACACTCTGATCATGGTGCCCATCCCATTTTAGGCTGCCATGATGGTTCAAATCCAAAGGGCAAGGATACCTATTGCTCTTGCATCTGTTCACATCCAGGGCTCATCTCCCAGTGGGTTCATGAGGAAGGCAACTTTGTGTCTTGACAAGAGCATGGGCTCTGTAGTCGGGAGTTTAAATCCTGATCTTCTCATTATTAACTATAGGACTTTCCAAAGGTTACTTGACCTAACTGAACTCTGATTCCCCAGAGAATAAGCAGGGAGAATAGTATCTACTGAGTGGGTAGTTGAACTGATCTGATGAAACAGCAAATGTGAAGTGCCAGGTTCTTAGCCAGGGCTCAACAGAAGGTAGACATCATCTGACATTCCCCCGCCTTGCTGACCAGCTGATAGAGAAGTGAATGGGATAAGGTTGGGAACACTCTCCTGCTCTTAGTGGCCTCTGCTCATAAGTCACTTCCAAGACCTTTCTATCCTTCTGTGGCAGGGGAAACTTCTTATTTGGGGTTTTGATCATTTGACACAGTCGTACACATAATTTTGGAGTCTCTTTTTACATTTGTTGCCGTAAAGATCATAGCAAATACTATCTTAGATGTTGCTGTGAAATTGACAGGGTGATGTATTGGTTGGCTGATTCCATCTGAACATTTCCTCTGAAAGGATACACATATTCATGCTCTGAAATTCTCTTTCTGCACCATCTTCTGAAAAATCACACCATGCCTGAGCTTTGCTGGGAAAATTGAACAATAGCTTGTACTCAAGAGTGGAAAAAAACACATACATACACACAAAGAGAACAGATCTTTCCTGAATCTAAGCTTCATTAAAATTAATTTGGATTAGAGGTTGCTGCATGACAAAGGGCACACAGGTCACTGGTTTTGCTTCATGTCTTCACATTGAAAACACAGGTGATGGAATGCCCATTAGTAGCCTCTAATGATGATTTGCTCTTTGATATCTGGCATTTAATCAGGGCTTAATCAGATAAGGCCTCCTCTGTAAGGAGTCAGACACTTTGCAGAAGCATATTGGCCCTGATCACTCTAGTATATGTGCTGCCGAAGCGAGCACGTGGCCCTGATCACTCTAAAGTGAGGCCCCCAGCTTGTGTGGCTTTCTTGGCTGCTGCTCATGAGCCCTACCCCTAAGGAAGGCCTAGTCACTTCCAAAATGTTCAGAAGGGGTAGGAAGAGGAGACATCAAAGCTCTGCTTCTCTGGGGGCTCCACAACTTAAGAGCAGGAGCTCAAGCAAAAGCAGGATGCAGGATGAACCAAGAGGATTCACACAGGGACAAAGTAAGGGATTTTTGAAAATGTAAATCGAGTGCCTAACTTATTTCTCATTCTGAAAAAGAACTGACAAATACATGCCTGACCCACCTGCCTCATTATTTGAGTGCAAAGCCTGGTTTGTCTTACTTTTGCAAATTTGTTGTTGTTGAAGAATAGCTGACATATCATATGATATTAATTTCATGCACACAGCACCGTGATTTGACATTGCAAACTGATCACCACCATAAGTGTAGTTACTATCTGTCACCATACAAAGTTGATACAGATTATTGTCTATATTCCTCATACAGTACATTACATCTCCATGACTTATTTATTTTATAACTGGAAGTTTGTACCTCTTAATCCCCCTCACCCATTCCCCCACCACCCCCTACCGTACCTCTGGCAACCACCAATCTGTTCTTTGTATCTATGAGTCTGGGTTTTGTTTTGTTTTTTAAATTCCACTTACTAGTGAAATCATACAGTATTTATCTTTCTCTATCTGACTTATTTCACTTACTGTGATGCCCTCAAGGTGGCTTCCCTTTCTTCTCTCTTTGCACATTTCTTGCAGGCTCTTCCCTAATGCCTGCATGTGTCTGTGAGGCTATAGGTCTGCTCCATCTCTTACATTAGATCGCGACCTCCTTGTATCTCAGGAAGATGTGTTCTCCTGCCTGTGGTTGCACCACAGCCTCCACTCTCAGTGCCTAGTATATGGTTCACTGAGAATGATTCCATGAACAGGACTCTAGTAGGATGGCAAGAAGCAGAGATGGACAAGAATTTATAGTCCAGTCTGACAGATTGGTATGTACCCAATATTCCTTGGGTGTCCCCCAGCATGAGTGAATGCTGTCCCTGTTCTCTGCAGTAGCGCTCTATCCATTAGTTGCTATATCTTGATCACTATGGGTACAGCAGATGATAGGTAGGAAGACAGATAGACAGATGAGAGAGAGAGACAGAGAGAGAGGGAGAGGGAGAGAGCGAGAGAGAGAGAGAGAGGGAGAGGGAGAGAGAATGAGAGTGGGTCACAGAAAGGCAGAAGGAATCAATTAACCCTATTAAAAAATCAACAGTCTGCGTCTCTGTTCATTTAACATCACCCTTCTGCATCCAAACATTTCTCAGAGCAGATGTAGCCCCTACTTTGGCTTGGTGAGTAGATGGGCCTTATGTGAAAGGAAAAAGGTAGGCTTCCCCTCAGCCAGTTGTGGACTGGATTCCAGACATTCATGCCCTTGCCCAGGTGCTTCTGTAGGGTGCTCAATTTTCACAACCTCATGTTGGCACCCTGGAGACAGATAACTTCATTTTTGTTCCAGCCGACAGCAAACAAACCTTGATCAAACAGTTCCTCTCCTTTGGGGCCTCGATTTCCTTATTGGAGGAAGAAAAAAGAGGGGGATTGAACCTAAAATTCCCCAAGATGCTCTGCAGTGCCAAAATGCTTTGATTCTTCAAGTATGTGTGAGCATGTAAAAGGCATTGTGCAAAGTTTACTGGTAGCTGACACCAATAAAGAAGATGTACCTCCAACCTCCAGCTTGACTCGAATTTGTACAAATTCCTTAGGACCAATTTTTAAAGAAAGAGGCCACATTGTTTCCATGGACCCAAATATAATTGCCCAGCTGAATCATCAGGGATATTCTTCCTGTTTTCTATAGTCACCACTGGCAACCACTTAAACTCCCAGATTCAATTTCCTAGTCTGCAAAATGCTACCTCTTATGGTAGGCTTTATGGCACCTAACCAGGGGCTACTGGCCAGTGCATGGCAGCAGGTTGGCTCCAAGAAGTGTGCAGGCATCCAACCCTTCTACATGTCAAGGTTTTTCAAGGGGATCTTAGCCACTGATTCTCATGTTCTGAGCAGCTATGGGCTGTAGAACTCTGCTCCCAATTTGAGCCCCACATCACTAACACTGTGTTAACTCAAGGTTGCATTAAGGTCACTCTTTGGAGCTATGTTTTTATTCCATAAAGATGATCAAAAGTTTGTTCAAATAAGAGGACCATGGCTTGTGAATTTTGGAATGATTAATCATAACTAAGTGCACAACAGGGAGCAATAAACTCTAAACTCTAAATTGGGAGATTCTTCCCCTGTAATTTCAAGTATGCAAATGAGACATCCAGATTTTTTTCTTTTTTTGGATTTGTTTTCTTTTCATCTTCAGTGTTCATTACAGAAATCTAGCCATTCTGACTCATGGTCATTGGTTTGACTTTAAAAAAATGGGGTGACTGGGTGGCTCAGTCAGTTGAGTGTCCAACTCTTGATTTCAGCTCAGGTCATGGTCCCAGGGTCATGAGATCGAGCCCCATGTTAGGCTCCATGCTAAGAGTGGAGCCTGCTTAAGATTCTCTCTCTCTCTCTCTCTCTCTCTCTCTCTCTCTCTCTCTTTCTCTCTCTCTCTCAAATAAAAACTAAAAATAAATTTAAAAAATTAAACCTAAAACCAAAAACCAAAAAACAAATTGGGGCCAGCCTGATCTCATTTGGGCCTCCCACATGTCCATCAGAGTCAGGTGACCCTACAGGTCTGGAGTTAGTAGTCTCCCCAGTTTACAGTCCTCTGTTCCCCAGAGCAGATCTTGTGTAATGGAGGAGTGGGCATGAGGGTCATGAGTGTGAGGCAGGGAGCATGCTCTGAGGTGGTAGAGCCTCTCTGATGCCACCCCCACCACAGCATGGACACCAGCTGCCCCTCAGCTCCTTTTCCATGTTGTTCACAGGCCTATTTTGGCGACACCCATGCCAGCTGCCAAACAGCTTCTGGGGGCCTGATTCACCTCGAGGCTACGATCTCCTCTTCTTAATTGTCTATTTCAGTTTCCTATTTCTGAGACCTAGCAGAGCACTTGACCCCTCACAAACATTCAAAAATCATTACTGAATGAATGAATGGATGAATAAGCAATTTTGAAAAAAGGATATTTGGGTTCAAAGACAAAAGATCCTCAAACTAGTCCTAATTATGATAGTAAAAAATTGCTGGCATTTGAATAGCAGCTTGCAGAGTGATTTCACTTACATTATCTCTATAACCCTCACAGGAACCTGTGTGGTTGGTTTTATTATTCCATCTGCCTAAATGAGAGAACTGGAGTTTAGAGAAATCAAAAGGTAGAGCCAAAGGCTAGGCCAATTGTGTAACCCTGGTACAAGTCACCAGCCTCCCTGAGATTCCCCTCCTTTGTCTGCCAGTGGATATAATACTTGACTTACCCACAACAATCGTGGGATTGTTGTGGACACCAAGCAGCTGCTTGGGAATGATGGGAGAAAAGAAACCTGAGAAGGCCAAGGATTAACCTAT